CAATCATACGACGTCAGACTTTAGATATTCAGAGTTTTATCCAGAGAAAATCAATGCAAGAAGAATGTTACAATAAGCATCTCACCTAGATCATCAAAAGTCCAAGACATGACAAAACAGAAACAATGAACTGAGTAAAAAGGACAGAAACAGAAACAGAAACAAACAAAAGATGCATCTTTTGGGAAACTCTCACTCAGCACAAAGAGATTTGAACTCCTGCTGTAAAACAAACCATTTTATAATAATGTGTATTCTCCTCATTTAAATATATGCATTAGGAGGTGTGTGTTTTCCTTTGTGGGCCTTCCCATTGATTTTATTACCTCCTGCTAAAGAACCCAAAGGCAGATATATGGATCGTCCAACTGGGTCTCTGCCGTACCAGGCGTCTCCTGCAACTCTCCCTGAGCTAAATTTACTTCCTCTGTCTGTTTTAGTTTTCTGACTCAAATGTTTCCACAAGAAAGTAGTTTGTATTTTTAACCAAGCTTGCACAAAATGTAATGCTAAATAATGACTATAACTTTGGATCTAAGAAGTAACTAATTCAAAACATGCTTAAAGAAATATATTCTAATATAGATCAAATTATTTATAAAAAGTGTTAAGATCCTAGTGAACTTTTGAACCATGCTCAGGAATCTGTTCACTGCCTGGCAGACAGACTCTGTCTAAAGAGATTCTAGGCTGTTTTCTGTCAAATCCTCCCTAAGAATTTATATAAGTTCAGAGTCAGATTCAGTTGTTTTAGTTTGGATCTTTATCTAAATTTATCTTAAAGTAAAGATTAGCCTGTGTGCTATTGTGCTACTTTAAAATTCAATTTCAACAGTAGCTAAAGCTAAAGCTAACTGGTACAGGTAGGACTCACCTGAGGCTCTGCGCTCCAGTCTGCTCCTTCCTCCTCCTCCTCCTCCTCTTCCTCTTCCTCCTCCTCCTCTTCCTCCTCCTCTTCCTCCTCTTCCTCCTCCTCCTCCTCTTCCTCCTCCTCTTCCTCTTCCTCCTCCTCCTCTTCCTCTTCCTCCTCCTCCTCCTCCTCCTCCTCCTCCTCCTCCTCCTCCTCCTCCTGCAGGAGGCTCCTGCAGCTCCTCAGGCTCCATCTTCTGCCAACTTATTTCAAATAAAGCGAAACAAAAAAACGCTCAGCTGACGAAGCCGCTGGTTCGCCGTTGCCATAGCAACGTGTTTGAGACGGTGCGTTCAAGGACAAACTGTTCAAAAAGCTGAACACGTGGGATAAAAACGTTACATATAAAATACATTCTTAAAATGTTCCACATGTGCGTCACAGTGACGTGCGGTCAGGCTCTGACGTCATCAGGCCTGCTGCATGGCATTGTTTACATATAGACATTTCGCGCATGCGGACAACATTGAAGAGCGAAGACTTTTTTTTATTAATTACTTAACAATTATACAAATATATACAATCAGGCTTCAGGCACATATAACTAAAAGATCATAACAAAATAAAGAAGTGAAATAAATCAAATCATTCAGACATCAGAGATTACTGAACAAAAACAAAACAGCGAAAAGACAGAAAAAAGAATTTATTTTAGTTGTCAAATAAAGTCAGGTCGTTATGAGCGTCCAAAAGTTTCATTCCCTGCTTGTTTTCCATCAGTTTTAAGGTTCTGAAGCGTTTTTCCATCAGAAGGTTTTTAAAGGCTGAACAGTTTGGTTTTCTATTTACAGAGTGATGAAGAATTTGGCGAGGATCAGCAGGTGGTTCAGAACCAGGCCGGGTTTTGTCTTTGTGGGTCCAAATATTACATCCTCTGTTTTTAAGGGATGATGGAGGGAAAGTTTAGTTGAGATCCAGTCCTGAAAGTTTCTCCAAAATGATGCAGTTTGCACACAATAGAAAAAAGATGATCTGTTGTTTTCAATGTCAGTATTACAAAAGGTACACATTTAATGTCGAAGTTAAATCTTTGTCTTAAAAGTTTCCTGGATGGAAAAATGTTGTTGAGAATTTTAAAATGAACTTCTTCAGCTTTAGGGCTCAGATATTTAAGGTAATCAGTTCTCCACTTATTAACCTCAAAATCAGAAGATGAATTTAAAATGGAGTTTTTATTTGGTCGGACAGGAAATATAATATTAGTAAGATGCTGACGCATCCGTTTGTTAGAATGACTTTTGTCATTAAATCCAAACAGTTGAAGAGCTGGAAACTGAAGGTCAGCTGATTAATGTTTATATCTGACTGCAGAGGAAGGAGTTTAATACCATATGAAACTGAGTGCATGAGCAAACCAAGTTTATACAATAAGCAAAATTCATCATAAGACAACCAATCTCCACTGTCATTAAGAAAATGTCTTATGGACCAAATACCTTTTTCCATCCAGTGATCCAAATAGAGATTTATTTCTGTCTATTGTTCCAGTTGGGGGTTTGCTGAGGAGTAAAGCTGTTCATGTTCAGAAGTTTAAACCTGCTTATGAAAAGCCGATAACTTAACAGGAAGTCTGTTGACATCAAAGTCACATCTAAGAACAAAATCCATGCATCCAATTTTTTTAAACAAACCTTTGGGGAAACAAAACCAGACACTGATTCCATTCATTAAAAAGATTTTAACCAATTTACCTTTAAGACGGCGTTTAAACATTCAAAGTCAATAGCTTGTAAACCACCATCTTTAAAGTCTTGAACCATATTTGCTTTCTTTAACTAGTGGACTCGATTTTTCCAGCTGAAACTAAAGCTCAGCTGATTTATAGCTTTAATGTATTTGTTAGGTATGGCCATAGAATAATCTGGGTAAATGCACCGGCTCTGCGACTCCATTTGGTTAAATAGGTTCTCCCAACAGGGTCAGATATCTTTGCAGCCATCGATTTAACTGTGTTTTATTCTCTATGTTAACGGTTTCATTGAGTTTAACATCTTTAGTCATTAAAATACCAAGATATTTAACTGAAGATTTAATGGGAATATTATAAGCTTCCATCAGATCAGAGTCATGAATCGCCATCAGTTCACACTTCTGCAGATTTAAGGTTAATCCTGATGCTTTGGAGAAAATATTAATTAACTGGAGTACTTTAGGGGTTTGGTCTGGATTCTTCAATATCATTGTGGTGTCATCAGCTAGTTGACTAATTATGATTTGGTCATCTAAAACTTTCAGTTTCGGTATATTGGAGTTTTTATGAAAATACTCATCACTTCAACAGCCAAGATGAAGAGAACCGGGGAAATAATGAATGGAGAGACGTGGAGACGCACCGTGTGGCAGTGCAACTGAGCTCCTGGTATAAGCTTTTTATTATACTACAGAAACGTGTAAAACCTTGAAAATAAACTGATGTTCCAACACATCAAAGGCTTGTAGAAGTCTGGTGCAGTAAATCCTGCACCAGTCTGATGTTATCATGTCTCGATCTTTTGTTTCAGAAAGAACATCCTTAGGACCCGTCTTTAATCTGTTTGTATAGATATATAGATATAGAACAGTTTAACTATGACAAGCAACTTAAGAGATAAAAATCAATATTAAAATGAAGAACTGTGCTGACTTTTGTTTAACCCTATAATGGGAGGATGTAATAAACAGAATAATCTGTAGTCTCAGAAGGGAGATGAAGCTTTGATCACTGCGATGTGACCTCTGTAAAAGGTCACCTGACCCTGGGATCTGGTCTTGGTGATCTTAGGCCGCAGTTCTTCTCCTGCCAATCGGTCTTCCTTCATAAACTCTGGAGCAAAACGCAGACCTTGTTCTTTGCACACCAGAGCAAAAAGACTTTACTTTCACATACTATCCATAGCTGCGCTGCCACGGTAGAAAAACCCCATCAATTCATTGAAACTTGGACATATAGATATTCATTTAGTGCAGCACAGCATGGAAGCTCAACTCAAACCACCTTGCATCGGACAAGCTACACCGAGACTCGTGTCGTGCCGCTTCGCCTGTTCACTGTGTGGTTAGCTCCAAGGTTAGCTTCATGGCTAGCTCCAAGGTTAGCTTCATGGCTAGCTCCACGGTTAGCTTCATGGTTAACTCCATGGTTATCTCCAAGGCTAGCTCGCTGTTGCTGTCTCTTCCTCTGCAGTGTGGAGTCTCAGTGTGTGGGATCATGAGCGCCCCCTGCCATTCGGCCAGAGAACTGCCTGCCTCACCTCCAGTCTGTTCCCTGGTTTCTGATCCAGAGCTGAGCACGAAACACGTTGCACACACAGTTGGTGGCAACAAACACTGGATATTACATATACGAGCTAAATGATGGAAAATCAGTTCATACATTAAATGTTTTTTAGCCATTTTATTGTCGACGGTCAGACAGGAAGAACCTGCTGCCATAGACTGGCAGCCAGTGCAGGTAGTGAGACGGTGATCCGTCCAGAGGCTCGGCTCACTACTAACTCACCTTCCCAACATTTGAACGGAAAAATGCGAAAATCCACGACTTTGAAGAAAAAAATAACCTAAATTCATTAAGCTAAATGAAAAAACCTGTTCACGGTACAAAACACAGAATGAAAGTAGCAATATAAATCATCTTCCTAGTCTCACCTCCATGATGAGGTGAGACTGCCTCACGGCCTCCCCTGACCGCACGTCACTGGTGTGTCATATATTTTTATATACATTTTATTGTATATTTGTATATATGTGTTTATATTTTTTGCTTTCTACAGGTTCTTCCGGCCTTCAGCTCTTCCTCCTCCTCTTCCTCCCTCCGGGAACTGGAACTCCTCGACTTGATGGAGAAATGTTTGACCCAATGGGAACGCTTCAACATGGTCAGGTGACAGGAACTGACCAATCACAGCTCTAAGCACAGCTGCGCTAAGTGCACAGCAGGACACTACAGAGTCCGACTGACCATGAAGGCACCGCCACCAGTCAGATGATTCAGGAGTTTATTAGGCAGCAGCAGAAGAGAGGCTCTGCGGGTCACCAGGTGTTTGGGGTCCGGATGCTTTTCAGCCTGGAACCGGGTCAAGACAGGCCTGGTTAGGACAAGATGATTTGACCCGACAGAACCCTGAAGCTCTCTGTGACCTCTGACCTTCTCAAAGGTCGCCTGTGGACGGCTGAATGCTTTCGCCGTCCTCAGAGCTGCTGGACTCCTCCTCCCGACTCTTCTTCTGCTGCTTCGCCTTGTGCTTCCTGTGTTTCTTCTTCGCAGAAACAGAGAGAGAAGCTGAGGGCGGGGCCAGCAGGAGCCGACGCTCCTTCTTCTTCATCTTCCTCTTCCTCTACCTTCTTCTCCTTCCGGTGTTTCTGCTGCTTTTTTTTCTGCTTCTTCTCTTCTTTGCTCCTCCGGCTGCTCCTCTGGTAGGCGGTGGTGGCGCCTCCTGTGGCTGAACAGGAGAACAACAGGCAGACATTTTAAAGGGACAGTGTTCTGTTTTCCAGCACATAGTTCCACTTTATAACACAACTATTTACTGTCAGTTATTATTTAAAAATTGTCATGTATCAAATGTTATTTCCTGTTTTAACATTTTGAAATTGGGCCTCTGTTTCTTTAAGAAGCCCCTGCTCTTTCTGAAGCGCCGCCTCCAGGAAGTCATCCCAGCATGGCTCCGTTATGAACCCTGTAACGTTCGTACTTACCAGTGTTGCTCTGAGCAGCAACTGCTATCATGTGCTCAGCTGGTTGCTAATTGCTGCTGTCTAGTCTGAAGGAGCTGAGTGGGGGAGGAGCTGCACCTTGAAGGTTGCCAAGGAGATTAAATGATTTCTCACCATCAGCTGCTGAAGGAGGTGGCAGCTTGGGTCCAAACTCCTCCTCTGCCTCCCGGCTTGGGGTCTGGGAAGAGGAGCTGAGAGCCAGAGGCATGCTGGGAAAATCCACAGAGGATGAGAGGACAGGACCTGCCAGGCGGCTGGAGGAGGAAGAGGAGACGATGCCAAACAGCTTCACTGGTTCTTCGTCTCCATTTGCCTCCTCCTCTTCATCACCGTCGTCCTCTGATGAAGAGGAGGACTTGTCCTCGGAGGACGTGATGAAGATGGCTCTGAACAGATCCATGGGCGGCCGCTCTTCCTCCTCCCCCTCCTCCTCGGCAGTGTGTGGCTCTGCTGGCGCCCCCTGCAGGAGAAACAGAGGTTAGGGTCCAGAAGCAGAACCGGAACCAGAGCAGAAGCAGTCGGACCTGAGGAGGAGACGGGCGGTCTGGCGTCGGCCCAGTGGGTTCGGAACTGGCCTGGTTCTGGATGCGGCCCGTCTCCTTGGAGACGTCCCACCTGGACTTCTTCTCCTCCAGGGGCTTTGGAGGAGCTGCAGAGCCACAACAGGACAAAGTGTCAGCACCCTGTAAACTTGGACCCGGTCCACAATTCTGATCAGGTTTCTGTTACGGGTCATTTCACTATGAAATATCTGAAAAGTGTGGCAGGGAGCTGTTTTCAGCCTCCTCAAAGCAAACGTGACAGAGCAGATCTGCTTGGCAGCATCACGCTGTGGGAAAACGGACTCAAAAACCTGAGACTGGGGTCAAAGGTCAGGACGAGCAATCATGGATACGATGGGAGGGATCAAATTGGAGCGGCCGAGTCAAAGTCCGGACATAACTGATGCTACAGCTGAAACCGGTTCTGCTGGGTTCTGATCCTGCCACACTACATCACAAAAAACCGTCTGAGGCTTCCAGACGAATCAGCGCCGCCTTCGGATCCAGAACCGGCTCTGAGGCATCAGAGATCCGGTTCCGGACCGGCTGAACTCACCTGCCACCTCCTGGCGCTCCGAGACCGTCAGGAAGTCAAAAACGGAAAACTTGTCCCTTTTGACCTTCGGCAGCCCGACCAGCTGACCTGGGGACCAATCAGAGTCAGAGCTCAGTTCCTGTCCGGTCCGGGTCCGGTTCGGGTTCCGGTGCCGCTCCAAGTCTTACCCGGGATACGGGTCAGGCACGTTAACCTCTTGCACAGCAGCCGGTCCGGATGCCACTCCAGAGTCTCTCTGGTCAGCTTCCCAAACGTCCTGCTGGCCGCCTGCTGGGCGCCGCCCTGGCAACCAGACCGAGCGGTGAGGAGAGGAGGGCGAGGAAGAGGAGGTGAGGAAGAGCGGCGCCCTACCTGCTGGTCGCAGCCGGCGTCCTCGGCGTCCTCGGCGTTCCCGGCGTCCTCGGCGTCCGGCTGCTGGGCGCGGGTGAAGCGGGATGACAGCGAGGAAGAAGACGGCCGGTACAAGATGGAGGCCCTGAGGAATTCCTCGCGCTCGCGCCGCGCTCCCACTCTGTCATGGCCGGGTCCAGACTCTGCTCCAGGGCTCCTGCGGGACACGGGGACCCGGGTCATTCCGACTCAGAACCACCAGAACCTGCTGGGTGACTCGGGTCCACAGGTTCCTCAGCAGGCGGAACCTGTGGACCCGCTCGGCTCCGACGTCACTTCCTACCTGCGTCGCCCTGCTGCAGGCTGCTCAGGTAGCGCTCGTAGCGCGCCTGCTTCCCCGGAATTTTCTCAAACGGCTTGAAGCTCTGTGAGGAAGAGAAGGAGGAAGAGGAGGAGCCTCTCCAGGCCGCCAATGCCTCCTGCTGGAGGCCGGAGAGGGGCGGAGCCGGGCCGGGGGGCGCTGCCTGGGGGGCCTCTGGGCGGCGGCGGTCCGGAGGCTGAGCAGGCGCTGGCGGTCCTCGGGTCGCAGCAGGTCCATGACAGAACCAGTCGCAGAACCAGAACCTGTTCAGAGACAGGAGGTTTACCAATCATCACCCTCTCGGGTGATGTCATCACCCTGACTGAGTGACCTGGCACATATTGTAGTGAAAAATCTTACAATGACTACATGATTATGAGCGAATGAATGCATTAGTGCAGTGATCTGTTCATGCCATCGTCTCACTGCTCTGAGACCCAGCAGATTAAACTCTGCATGAGTTTCATCGACTGCATTCGGTCAGCAGAGGCTTCGCATTAATACTGATCAGAATATGTTGCTTCTCTGCTTCTTTGGCTTGTGAAAGTTTTTCCACTCTTTGTTAAAAAAAAATTCCACAACAAGATGTAGAAAGGAAGAATTCACACCTTGCTGGGTTTACAATGTTACTCATTTTATTGAACATTTCTGCATTTCTGTTTTCAGTTTATAGTAAAAGTCTCTAAGGCTTTTAGGTTTTAATGTTTTTATTCATTAGAACTTTTATTTGCTCTCAGTTCAGCTGATGTGGCCTGGTCCTGTGCTGCCCCCTGCTGGTTTTACAGGAGCACTGTGCGGCTCACCTTGCAGGGCGTCCTCTCCCAGCAGCGCTCCCCTCTGGCCAGAGTCCAGCTGGTGGCGGCTGTCCTGCTGCGCCTCCTCCTTCACCATGTGACCCCTGGAGCTCCTGAGGGCCTCAGCCAGCGCAGTGCTGACCCCACACAGCCTGGACACGTCCACTGGAGGACGGAAGAAATGGACGGGACGGTAATCTCTGGGGAGGTTTGGTGGAGGGAAGACCTGCGGAGGGACAGAGGAGTCAGGAGGAGTTTCCTCCACCAAGAGACGGTGTGCAGGCTGACCGTTTTCTGCAGCAGAGGCTTCTGGGCCAGAGTGAACCCGTCCAGGATCTTCCCCAGATACGCTGCGTCTCTGGATCGGTCTGTCAACAGAGTGAGACACAGCAGCAGCCATTTATATCACTGCTTGATAACGTTTATCAGGTATGTGTGGCACTGTTTACTCTTTGTGGCGCTGGAACCCGTGGCGAGGACCCGGGCCTTCCTCTACACGGGCCGTGTTTAACCCAGCACCTCCATTGATTGCATCAATTATCACAATAAACTTCTTGTAATATTTGGATTCATTGTTGTCACAATGAATTCGGATTGATGCTATCTAGAATCTGTCCTTCTCATTAGATTGTGGCTTTTTCTCCATCTATAAATGTTAACATATTAAATGTTGTGAGTATGTCTGATAAAACTCTTCATGTGCCTGGAGTCCTATGAGCAGCAGCTGGCAGATCAGGGTTCAGATCCAGATCACAGCCAATCTATACTCATCGTCTACATTCCTGTCACCCAGATGCTGCATTCACTGACAAACAGGTCGCTTTCTCTGGCTAGAACCGAAAAAGCTTCAGCTCAACATTCCTTCTGTCTTCCTGTCCCCTCACCTGTCCTCCATTCCCCTCACCTGTCCTCCATTCCCCTCACCTGTCCTCCATTCCCCTCACCTGTCCTCCATTCCCCTCACCTGTCCTCAGGTCCCCTCACCTGTCCTCCATTACCCTCACCTGTCCTCCATTACCCTCACCTGTCCTCAGGTCCCCTCACCTGTCCTCCATTACCCTCACCTGTCCTCCATTCCCCTCACCTGTCCTCAGGTCCCCTCACCTGTCCTCCATTCCCCTCACCTGTCCTCAGGTCCCCTCACCTGTCCTCCATTACTCTCACCTGTCCTCCATTACCCTCACCTGTCCTCCATTCCCCTCACCTGTCCTCCATTACCCTCACCTGTCCTCCATTACCCTCACCTGTCCTCAGGTCCCCTCACCTGTCCTCCATTACCCTCACCTGTCCTCCATTACCCTCACCTGTCCTCCATTACCCTCACCTGTCCTCAGGTCCCCTCACCTGTCCTCCATTACTCTCACCTGTCCTCCATTCCCCTCACCTGTCCTCCATTCCCCTCACCTGTCCTCCATTACTCTCACCTGTCCTCCATTCCCCTCACCTGTCCTCAGGTCCCCTCACCTGTCCTCCATTACCCTCACCTGTCCTCAGGTCCCCTCACATGTCCTCCATTACCCTCACCTGTCCTCAGGTCCCCTCACCTGTCCTCCATTACCCTCACCTGTCCTCAGGTCCCTTCACCTGTCCTCCATTACCCTCACCTGTCCTCAGGTCCCCTCACCTGTCCTCTGGTCCCCTCACCTGTCCTCTGGTCCCCTCACCTGTCCTCTGGTCCCCTCACCTGTCCTCTGGTCCACTCACCTGTCCTCCAGGTGTACTGCTGCGGAGCTGTCCAGCCGTAAAGGCCGTCTCCAGGCTCCTCATCTCTCAGCACCGTGTCGTATCTGGACATGGAGTCTCTGTGATAGACGTCTTCATCCTCGTCCTCCAGCGCTCCCACACCGAAGGCCTGCGGGTCAAAGGTCAGGTGAACCCCAGCCGCGTGTCAACCTGTTAAAGCCTGTGGAGGAATGAAGCCCACCTGCCCGGCGACCCCTCCCCTCCTGGACCCGCCGGGTCGGTCTCCAAACAGCCGGCTCCGGGTCTCGGACTGGGGCCGGAACAGGTGGACGTGCTGGTCCTCGTCCCGGCCCGGCAGCGCCAGGCCCGGGTCCAGACCGCTGTAACCCAAGCCCTGCAGCCCCAACCGCGGGCTGAAGTCAACCGGAGTCACATCCTTAGGGGCAAAGGTCACGTTCTCTGGAGCAAACTCCTCGTCGTCCTCCTGAGCAGAGACAGACCAGGAAGTGAACAGGCTGGAGGAAAAACAGAGGAAGGACAGGAACTCCAGAACCTCCGGAACCTCCGGAACCTCCAGAACCTCCAGAACCTCCGGAACCTCCGGAACCTCCAGAACCTCCAGAACCTCCGGAACCTCCGGAACCTCCATCTGTTTCATTACCTCTGACTCCTCCGAACCAGCAGGGGGCGCCGCACAGCTGTAGGTTTTACAAACTCCGGCTGTCACTAAGATAAAGAAGAACATAAAGACATGAATGGATGGATGATGGATGTTCAGTATAGCTACCAACTGTAGCAGAGTATCTAGTATTATATCAGAACCAGCCGTGGTTGTGATTGGACCTCCATCAGAACCGTGGGTTGTGTCCACACCTGGCCGCTGGCGCCGGCGTTTCCTCTTCAGGCGCGGCCCGATCCCCTGGCCCTCCTTCCAGCCCATCCTGGTCAGCAGCTCCACGCCGACGGAGGACCTGGGAGTAGGACCAGCAATCCTGAGCCATGAACGCGCCTGGCTCCGCGGGGCGCGGCTGCAGCCAGCAGGGGGCGGCGCCTACCTGGCCGGAGCGATGAGTTCTTCCAGCAGCGAGTCCCCAGGGATCAGCGCCACCTGAGCGCCCACGGCCTTCGCCTTCTCTGCAGCCGGGTCTCTGCGGCTGGACGAGAACTCCTGGCTGGTGGTGATCTCTCTGGGGGCGATGCCGTGCTCACCGAAGTCCTGCCGACAGACAGACACAGAGACACAGACACAGACAGACGCAGAGACACAGACAGACGCAGAGACACAGACAGACGCAGAGACACAGACACAGACAGACGCAGACACAGACAGACGCAGAGACACAGACACAGACAGACGCAGAGACACAGACAGACGCAGAGACACAGACAGACGCAGAGACACAGACAGACGCAGAGACACAGACAGACGCAGAGACACAGACAGACGCAGAGACACAGACACAGAGACACAGACACAGAGACACAGACAGACGCAGAGACACAGACAGACGCAGAGACACAGACAGACACAGAGACACAGACAGAGACACAGACGCAGAGACACAGACAGACACAGAGACACAGACAGAGACACAGACGCAGAGACACAGACAGACACAGACAGACGCAGAGACACAGACAGAGACACAGACGCAGAGACACAGACAGACGCAGAGACACAGACAGACGCAGAGACACAGACGCAGAGACACAGACAGACGCAGAGACACAGACAGACGCAGAGACACAGACAGACAGAGACACAGACAGACAGAGACACAGACAGACGCAGAGACACAGACAGACGCAGAGACACAGACAGACACAGAGACACAGACAGACGCAGAGACACAGACAGACAGAGACACAGACACAGAGACACAGACAGACACAGAGACACAGACAGACGCAGAGACACAGACAGACGCAGAGACACAGACGCAGAGACACAGACAGACAGAGACACAGACGCAGAGACACAGACAGACGCAGAGACACAGACAGACACAGAGACACAGACAGACGCAGAGACACAGACAGACGCAGAGACACAGACAGACAGAGACACAGACAGACGCAGAGACACAGACACAGAGACACAGACAGACGCAGAGACACAGACAGACGCAGAGACACAGACAGACAGAGACACAGACAGACAGAGACACAGACAGACACAGAGACACAGACAGACGCAGAGACACAGACAGACGCAGAGACACAGACAGACACAGAGACACAGACAGACGCAGAGACACAGACAGACACAGAGACACAGACAGACAGAGACACAGACAGACACCATAAATGAGAAGACTCTTTTATTACAGTAAAACAGTAGTGTGCAAGTCTCATTATGACATCTGATAGCTCATTAAATCCTGACCCAGTCTGTCCCCATTGACCCAGTCTGTCTCCAGTCTGTCCCAGTTGACCCAGTCTGCAATGTTCCCTCTAATGTTTCATGTGTCTGGGCTTCCTGAACACACTGAGGACCACTGTGAGCATCATCAGTGTACACGGCGTGGCCACGCACAAGTATCATAAATCTGGGATCATAGAAAGTTGCATGGCTTATTAAAAAACTAATTACATCAGCAATTTTCATTCGTTTGATTTTAATTTAAGTGATTTGCTCAATTAAAATAAAAAAAGAAAAGAAAAGAAAACATTGCTGTTCATGAGATGCATGCTATAAGTAAGAGTCCTGCTTCAGCCAGGGTGAGAAATGAGACATTACACCTTTCAGACATAAATGTTTGTTCAGATTAAAACATTCACATTTTGCACAATGAAATGTTTTCTGTAGCTTGTGATGCAGTATAAATTCTTGTAAAATATTTAATTACAGTTTACAGTTTCACTTCTTCTCACTTCTCCAGTGGTTGTTCGCTTAGCCCAGGTTGATGGTCAGTCTGCTTCTTGCTTTATGTTCTTGAATTCAGCATATTGACTGTTAATAGCCTCCATAATCTGTGGCTGGAGGAATGGCCTCATACTTCTTTGCCAGTGTACAAATGTCTGCTTATCTATAGTCAAAAGTCTGAACTCAACATTTCAGTATCAAATGCAGACCATTCCTTTCATTTGATTTGATTCCATTTGATCTTAGAAGAAGTGCATTTCTTTTTTTTTACTGTGGCTAGGGTTAGGGTTAGGGTTAGGATGTCCCACTAGACATGATAAGGTGATGGCTTTCACGTTTCTTAACTCTACCGCTCTATTCTCACCTGCACAGCCATATGACCAAGGCACGTAACCCACGTAGCGAAAGTGAACCGTATCGTATCATTGGCTGGATTCCTGTCACTCACTGAGTTCGATCACAAAGTAGTACGGAAAAATTTTTTTATTGGTCCATAGTCAAAACTGATGTCTGAGCTCAATGTCCACTTTACATTGAACTTTATTTTGATGCGCTACATAGATTTTCTTGTGCGCTGAGAATATGTGAGCAGTGCGCAGGCGCAGCTTAGAGGGAACATTGCCAGTCTGTCTCCAGTCTGTCCCAGTTGACCCAGTCTGTCCCAGTTGACCCAGTCTGTCCCAGTTGACCCAGTCTGTCTCCAGTCTGTCCCAGTTGACCCAGTCTGTCTCCCAGTTGACCCAGTCTGTCCCCGTCTGTCTCCCAGTTGACCCAGTCTGTCCCAGTTGACCCAGTCTGTCTCCCAGTTGACCCAGTCTGTCCCAGTTGACCCAGTCTGTCTCCCAGTTGACCCAGTCTGTCCCCGTCTGTCTCCCAGTTGACCCAGTCTGTCCCAGTTGACCCAGTCTGTCTCCCAGTCTGTCTCCCAGTCTGTCTCCAGTCTGTCTCCTAGACTGGAGGCGGTCTAAGGAACACCTTGGCGGTTTACCTCCTCATCCATGAAGTCCTCAGGTGTGGCATGGTGCTTTTCAGCTTTCTGTTGCCGTGACGACACAAAGGTCGAAGGGGTCCATCCTAAGTTTAAGACACGATCAGGAACCTCTAGCCTCCATCAGAGCCATAGTGTCTTGGTTTTCATCATTACTTTGAAATTATTTGCAACACAAATACTGAAGAGCAAAGCATGAAATATTATTCATTTGATGTTTACATAGAGGAGCCATGAACTTGGTCACAATATGTTTCCTCTGTTTATGTTCTTATTTTCTGTTCATTCAAATGAACCCAAAGATGTGAGCGGTTCTACCAGAACGGACTTCTGACCTTCCTTGGATCCGACCGTGTTGAAGTATCCTGCTGAAAAGCCTCCAGTGAACGCCCCGTGGAACCGCTGGTACCGGCCCCTCTCGTCCTTCACCGTCTGCTCGTGCAGCGGCACCGGCTTCTTCAGCGGCTCGTCTGGAAACGCAGGCCGGGGTTAGCAGAACAGTTCTGATCCAGACCAGCTGGAACCTCAGCAGCATGGCAGAAGGCGATTCTGCTGGAGGTTCAGGACGTAGTTCCAGTGGAACCAGCGCCCAGTTTTGAGCAAAAATAACATTAATATCATAAATAAAATTAACTAATGAACCCTCTATGGGTCAGGTAGACCTATTTATATGGCCATATCAACGTGTCTTAAAAGCATTTTAAAATGTTAACAAAGCTACAGCTGTCCTGACATAGTAACTGACAGGAAGTTCATAAAAGTTGAGAAGGTTCAATAAGCTGACAAACCATGCTTTAAGCTGCTGGTTAAAGGACAGACAGCAGGTGGCGCTACTGCTAATGTTCACAGGTTGTGTTCCAGCTCCTACAACCTTTAATTGATCAAACGTTCTGGGGAAGGAAGATTTTCTAAATTGAACCCACGGCGCCCCCTGCCAGAGTTCCTGCTAGAGCTTGGAAATAAATTCAGGAGTTTCTTTTTTAAATGAGAAATTTACAATTTAAACGAGTTAAAACTTCCCATGAGATTTGTATTTCAGTATAACCAAAATATCTTGTATTTTTAATAAGAAAGGTCATAAGAGGAAAACAGCAACACTTTTCTGACACCGTTAGTGTGACAACTTTAGAAAATGTGCTTTTATATTTTATTATATCGTTTGAAATTTCACCAAATCCTGATTAACACTGTAGGATCCTATTGATGTTCTATCTTGAACAGAAAGGGTGAAGGAGGTGCGATTGAACAGGTGTTCTGTTCATCTGTGCTACTCGTCAATCCCTCCTACCTGTTGAAGTTTTGTTTCATGTGTTTTATTTCATTGCAGATTACAGTCAGCTTTATTTGATTTATTTTATGCCAGGCTTTCATTAAGCTGCTGGATTACTTCATGTTTTTACTTTACATGACAGGCAGCTTATAAATGGCTTCAGTTTGCCGTCTGCAAAGTCATTACTACTGTTAACAAGTCATTGTTTTGCAGTTAATCAGGACAAAATATGTTGTTGTTTGGGCTATTTTAGTTTTAAAATGTTAAAACTATAATTTTAAAATATTTTAGTTTTTTATTATTTAACTTTGCTAAATAGATGTTAGTGACTCTATGTGGGACTGAAGCTTTAATAGCCTGTAATATTAGTGTATATTAATCATATCCCATCATTTCAGTGACCTGTGCAGTTCGGTGACACGTCATGGCTGCATTTAATAAAGTCTGTCATATGACGGAAGACAGACTTTATTAAACACTTACAACAGCAAAGAAGAGTTGATCTGTATTCAAAAACATAAGCAAGAAAGGCTTAGCCTGGCGGTGGGGCCAGTAAAATATGGCGGGCCGCCATGTCTAAAATACACTGGGCAGCATGTACATTAGGATGGTTGGCAGCACTAAGACCCTCTTCCTCACTCTGATTGGTTGTTTTTGACCCGGAGCGGTCCACTTCTGCGAATGATAATCGCAGGACTGGGAGGAGGTGGAGCAGCCTGATTATGATATATTGTCACGACATGGTGACAAGTTTAACAAATGTCTTAAATAATTGCATAAAAGTTACATACTTCAATCTGAACCACATTGACTAGTTCTGACCCAAACCTGGACCGGATCTGTGGCGAGATGAGACTCAACCAAGTTCATGATTTAGTCTGAAGCTTCAGACGTTAATCTGAAGACATTTTCATTCCGAAGCAGGAGAACCAGCTCTGGGTTGGAATCTCGGCTCTGTCTGGTTTAGCTAGCAGCCTGTTAGCTTAGCCGCCATAAGTATCACTTCCTCCTGTTCTTCCGGTCAGCCAACACCTGCAGGAGTTCGTGGAGGGGCAAACATGTGACGGAGCCGCTGACCCGAACCGAACCTCACCTTCTTCCAGAGGTTCCAGCGGAGTCCCGAAGCTAACAAAGTCCTCCTCGCTGTCCGCCGCCATGTTTGCACACAACTACGGCCTCCGCAGAGGGACAAACTTCACAGAGCAACGCGTCAAAACAGCGGTAGGAGAAACCAGAGTTCAATTCATAACAATCATTTGGAAATAATCTTCTCTTCCCTTGGAGTCTCATGTAATCTGGTTTGTCAGTGAAATGTTTGTATTTGCAGCGAATTAACACATTTTGTTTGTTTGTTTAAATTCTCACTTTTTTTATCAGCATAAAATGTTGGCATTTAACGGCTTGTTCAAGCATCACTAAGTCTCCCAGCCCATATGAGGGATGTATGTGCAACATTACAAATTAAATCCTAATTTTTGTACCACTTTGACATGAATAATACCATGAATAATTATAACCAGTGAAAGATACAACATTAGTGATTTCAAACCTTCATCTCAGAGTATAAACAGAAATGCTGACATCATCAAAGACAGACTTCCCTGAAATAACCTACAAATCAAAAAACAAAACACCAACAATGCTGCATCCTGCTCACAGAAACGAGCAGGTGTTGGACTTTGCAACACCTGCTTAAAGTTCCTCCAGAACCTGCTAGGCTGGAGGAACGTTGTGACTTCGGCTCCCTGCAGAGCAGCGGGTGACCAGCAGGTGTCGCTGTCTGATCAGGGAAGCTGCTGGTCTACATCTGCTTGACCTGCGGTTCCGATCACCAGGACGGGCAGAACCGAACACATTCGGAGCGTATGGCTCAGCTCGTTTCCCTTCCAACAGGTCCAAACGGTCTCATTGGAAACAGAACCTTCGGCGGGTCAAAGGTCATCCAACAGTGCAATGTTAAAGTTATCAGCTGCTGCAGAGTTAGCAGGTGTGAATACTTTTCTCTGGATGACATCATCAGCTGATGAAGGAATTTAGCTTCTCCTTTTCTTTGGTTTATTCATGGTTACACCTGATGAACCGGGGTCCAGGTTTGGTACCAGAACCTGGACCCCGGCAGCTGGAACCAGCTTCCTCTGAGGAGACGCAGGGCAGAGCCTACTGGATCTGGTTCTGGTAGCAACACGGCCAAGGTGGTTCTGACTACTGGGGCTAGGTTAGACAAGGGGTCAGAGGTCAGGACTCTGTCTCAGGTTCTGGTTCTGGTAACAGGCTGCTCGGTGAGTTTCCTGCAGAGTGAGGAAGAGGATCTTCTTCTGCAGAGGTTGCAGCGCGGCTGATCCAGATGTCATCATCACACCTGAAATATTCAGCAGACGCTGCGATGCTCCGACTGACGCTGTGATGCGCCCGCAGGTCGCTGCATGACGCAACGCGCTGCAACTGCTGCTGCTCTTCATCACCAGATGACGAGGAGGAAGACCAGGAGAGCTGCTGCTCCTCACCTGAAACTTTTCATAAATCATTGGAATGAAGTCTGATCAATCTGAGGCTCCAGGCCTAAAACCTGCTCCTCTTCATCACAGCCTTCCTCAGTGCAGATGGACCACGGCGTCCCTCAGAACAGCTGGATGTTTGACAGAAAAACCTCGACATGTTAGCATTAGCTACTACTAGCTTGACCTTTGACCCAGGAACAGAGCAGAGCATTTGCTCTTTCATGAACTTGATGAAAATTCTTAATCCAATTAATTGCAGAATTTGTAATTCAAAGTGTTTCTCCTGCTAAATCACTGAATAAACTTAATCCTCCAGTTCTTCACCAAAATGGAACAAAGTTCATCTTTCCAGAATTTCTCTGATCATTCATTCAGCTTCTTTACAATTGTGGACACTAACATTAGCGTTAGCTTCTACATGTTAGCATTGAGGTGCTAACATGTAGAAGCTAACATGTAGTTGCTGTTAGCACAACATGAACACATCCATCGTCCAATCAGATCGCTGGAAGCAGAAGTCCTGAACGACCCGCCTGAAGGTCACCTTAGACTCGGCTCTGCTGCTGACCTTTGGGTCCAGGTTAGCTTCTGGTAGGAAATGCTCTCTGTGCGTGACCTCTGACCTCTCACGCTGGAAGCAGAGCTGTGTAAATGTCAGAGGAACAAACGGACCTCTGTGGCGCCGGTCGGCCGCTCCAATCACATGCCAGGCCCAGCAGATTAGAACCGAGCCGGGATAATCACAGCTTTCTGCTCCACCCAGCACAGAATCACAACCAGAGTTCTGGACCAGAACCGCAAAGATCTGGATCAGAACCGCAAAGATCTGGATCAGAACCGCAAAGTTCCGGATCAGAACTGCAGAGTTCTGGATCAGAACCGCAGAGTTCTCCTCTTAGGGAGCAAATGGCTGCTGCCAGAGTTAAAGGTCAAACAGAAGGTCACGCAGAACAACCTGGACCAGCAGGGTCAAAGGTCAGACTGAGCTCACAATACACCTTCAGCAAAACCAGTTCATGGAAACTTGAGCACCAGAATCCATCCATAATCCATCATCCATCCATCCATCCATCCATCCATCCATCATCCATCCATAATCCATCATCCATCCATCCATCCATCATCCATCCATCCATCATCCATCCATCCATCATCCATCATCCATCCATCATCCATCCATCCATCCATCCATCCATCCATCCATCCATCATCCATCCATCATCCATCCATCCATCATCCATCCAGCCATCATCCATCCATCATCCATCCATCCATCCATCCATCCATCATCCATCATCCATCCATCCATCCATCATCCATCCATCATCATCCATCCATCCATCATCCATCCAGCCATCATCCATCCATCATCCAACCATCCATCCATCCATCCATCCATCATCCATCCATCCATCCATCCATCATCCATTCATCATCCATCCATCATCCATCCATCCATCATCCATTCATCATCCATCCATTCATCCATCATCCATCCATCATCCATCCATCCATCATCCATCCATCCATCATCCATCCATCATCCATCCATCCATCATCCATTCATCATCCATCCATCCATCCATCATCCATCCATCCATCCATCCATCCATCCATCCATCATCCATCCATCCATCCATCATCCATCCATCATCCATCCATCATCCATCCATCATCCATCCATCATCCATCCATCCATCCATCATCCATCCATCATCCATCCATCCATCCATCCATCATCCATCCATCCATCCATCCATCCATCATCCATCCATCATTCCATCCATCCATCCATCATCCATCCATCATCCATCCATCCATCCATCATCCATCCATCATCCATCCATCCATCCATCATCCATCCATCCATCCATCCATCCATCCATCCAGCCATCATCCATCCATCATCCATCCATCCAGCCATCATCCATCCATCATCCATCCATCCATCCATCATCCATCCATCCATCCATCCATCATCCATCCATCATCCATCCATCCATCCATCATCCATCCATCATCCATCCATCCATCCATCATCCATCCATCCATCCATCCATCATCCATCCATCATCCATCCATCCATCCATCCATCATCCATCCATCCATCCATCCATCCAGCCATCATCCATCATCATCCATCCATCCAGCCATCATCCATCCATCATCCATCCATCCATCCATCCATCATCCATCCATCCATCATCCATCATCCATCCATCCATCCATCATCATCCATCCATCCATCCATCCATCATCCATCCATCATCCATCCATCCATCCATCCATCCATCCATCATCCATCCATCCATCCATCATCCATCCATCATCCATTCATCCATCCATCATCCATCCATCATCCATCCATCCATCCATCATCCATCCATCATCCATCATCCATCCATCCATCCATCCATCCATCCATCCATCCATCATCCATCCATCATCCATCCATCCATCCATCCATCATCCATCCATCATTCCATCCATCCATCCATCATCCATCCATCATCCATCCATCCATCCATCCATCATCCATCCATCATCCATCCATCCATCCATCCATCCAGCCATCATCCATCCATCATCCATCCATCCATCCATCCATCATCCATCCATCATCCATCCATTCATCCATCCATCCATCCATCCATCCATCCATCATCCATCCATCCATCCATCCATCCATCATCCATTCATCCATCCATCATCCATCCATCCATCCATCCATCCATCCATCATCCATCCATCCATCCATCCATCCAGCCATCATCCATCCATCATCCATCCATCCATCCATCCATCATCCATCCATCATCCATCCATCATCCATCCATCCATCCATCCATCCATCATCCATCCATCCATCCATCATCCATCCATCATCCATTCATCCATCCATCATCCATCCATCATCCATCCATCCATCCATCATCCATCCATCCATCCATCCATCCATCCATCCATCCATCCATCCATCCATCATCCATCCATATCCATCATCCATCCATCATCCATTCATCCATCCATCATCCATCCATCCATCCATCCATCCATCATCCATCCATCCATCCATCCATCCATCATCCATCATCCATCCATCATCCATCATCCATCCATCATCCATTCATCCATCCATCATCCATCCATCATCCATCCATCCATCCATCCCATCCATCATCCATTCATCCATCCATCATCCATCCATCATCCATCCATCCATCCATCCATCCATCCATCCATCCATCATCCATCCATCATTCCATCCATCCCATCATCCATCATCCATCCATCCATCATCCATCATCCATCATCCATCCATCATCCATCCATCCATCCATCCATCCATCCATCATCCATCCATCCCATCCATCATCATCCATCCATCCATCCATCCATCATCCATCCATCATCCATCCATCCATCCATCATCCATCCATCCATCCATCCATCATTCCATCCATCATCCATCCATCATCCATCCCAGCCATCATCCATCATCATCCATCCATCATCCATCATCATTCCATCCATCCATCCATCCATCCATCCATCATCCATCCATCATCCATCCATCATCCATCCATCATCCATCCATCCATCCATCCATCCATCCATCCATCATCCATCCATCATCCATCCATCCAGCCATCATCCATCCATCATCCATCCATCATCCATCCATCATCATCCATCATCCATCCATCATCCATCCATCCATCCATCATCCATCCATCATCCATCCATCATCCATCCATCATCCATCCATCATCCATCCATCCATCCATCCATCATCCATCCATCATCCATCCATCATCCATCCATCATCCATCCATCCATCCATCCATCCATCATCCATCCATCATCCATCCATCATCCATCCATCATCCATCCATCCATCCATCATCCATCCATCATCCATCCATCATCCATCCATCATCCATCCATCCATCCATCCATCCATCCATCCATCATCCATCCATCCATCCATCCATCCATCATCCATCCATCATCCATCCATCCATCCATCCATCCATCATCCCATCATCCATCCATCATCCATCCATCATCCATCCATCATCCATCCATCCATCCATCATCCATCCATCATCCATCCATCATCCATCCATCATCCATCCATCATCCATCCATCATCCATCCATCATCCATCCATCATCCATCCATCCATCCATCATCCATCCATCATCCATCCATCCATCCATCATCCATCCATCATCCATCCATCATCCATCCATCATTCCATCCATCCATCCATCCATCCATCATCCATCCATCATCCATCCATCATCCATCCATCATCCATCCATCATTCCATCCATCCATCCATCATCCATCCATCATCCATCCATCATCCATCCATCATCCATCCATCATCCATCATCCATCATCCATCCATCCATCCATCATCCATCCATCATCCATCCATCCATCCATCCATCATCCATCCATCATCCATCCATCATCCATCATCCATCCATCCATCCATCCATCATCCCATCCATCCTCCATCCATCCATCATCCATCCATCATCCATCCATCATCCATCCATCCATCATCCATCCATCATCCATCCATCATCCATCATCCATCATCCATCCATCATCTATCCATCCATCCATCCATCCATCATCCATCCATCATCCTCCATCCATCCATCCATCCATCCATCCATCCATCATCCATCCATCA